TATTGTGCCTAACATAATTGGCATTTAAATTATAAGTAAGTTCTTATTTATGCATTTTTAAATATATTAGTTATTGATGTAAAATCTGTAGTAATATGTGTGTTTTTTTACGACATACAACCCCAGACAAGATGCTACTTTTATTTTTACTTTTACTTATGTTAAGGAAATACCTTTATTATGCAGTAACAGTACCCTGCCCGGCTGTGCTCAGATTAGGGGGAAGGATCTGTTACCGTCTTGTTTTTTTCTGCACACATGTGGCACATCTGGGGCCAAGCCTGACTCATTACTCACTTCTTTATGTTCCATTCTCCGCAGCCATGGCAACTGCAGCGTGTTTTCGCCGGAAAGCTTTTGAAGGCAATGGAAAAAGAGAGAGAGAGAAAGAGAGAGAGGGTGCTTAGGGAGTGAGAGAGCGAGGAGAGGTAGAATAGGGGAGGAGGGAGGGAGCAGGCTCTCAGTAGTTGGCCTACATCCAGTGTAATCATGCCATGGAGCTGAAATGAGGCCTTTGGCTGCACACCAGGTTTCTGAGAACAAAGATGTGAGCTTCTAATGTTGGCGGTGGGGCCTGCTTGGCATCCACGGCCATTTCCCAGCAGCCCTTGCCTTGGCCGATTGCCAGTCCCCCCCCACACCCTCCCTCCTCCCTCCCTCCTCAGCCCTCCCTTCTCTGCCGGGAGTGCAAAGAGGATCAGAATAAAGAGAGAGACTTGTTTTTCACTCGCCTCCTGCTCTGGTCCAATGACATCACCTCTGCGGCCCCCAGATTCCAGCCGCCCGCCGCATTTTTCCACTTTCGGACCGTCCATTTTATTTGGATTCCTCCATTTTAGAGTTTTGTCCCAGTCAGCTACTGTACTTTGTTATTCTGTGAAAGCATAACACAGATTTTGTCAGGATGTCAGATGGAGAGCAGAGGCCAATAAAGCAGCAGTAATTATTACACTATTATTTCCTATTGGTAGGTTTCATATTACAACATTTTGAGGACTTTTTGACTTTCAATATATATTATATTTAGTTTGAAATTGTTAATTGCTTTGACAACAGACCATATTTTTCATAATTCTAAAATCCATGGATAAAAACAGAAATATTCAATCAATACATTTTCTGTTTAGGACTATATATAATGTTGATGTTATCAAAAATACTAAATGATGATCTGATTTGACATTATATTATTACTTTGTCTATTCATATTCATATTTGTGGCAGAAAATTACTTAGATATTAGTCATAAACCATTTTCTGCTCGAAATTATCTTTTTTTTAACCACATAAACACAACCTCTTGCTATATTTCACTATTACATAACATCCAATTGTCTTGCTTGTATTTTATTCTTTAATCCCACACAGTGCATAAACAATTACCCTCTTCTGCTTAAAATACCATGCTTACATAATGCCGTTACATAAATTTGATTGCTGGCTCATCGTTGTCTGGGCCGTCCATCATGTCCCACTTTCTGTGTCACTGTGATTGATATTATTGTCACATTGCTCTGCATTTTATCTGCACTCTAATCCATGCGAGCTCTAACCAGTGGCTAAAAATAACCATGTCCAATTTGTTCAGACTGCAAAAGACAGTTGGGGACCTGTGTTAATCTGGTCTGCAGCCTGTACGCCAAAGTGAGTTCAGGTCTCTCAGTGCCCTACTCTAGAAAATTCCTCCTCTATTGCGTAAGTCAATACAGCACAGCAAAAATCTACTGTATAAAACATATGTTAAAGTGATTTAAATTCAAATTATATGCATATTTCTCAACTGTTTTGACTAAAGTTTAGTTGTGCTTTTTTGCAAGGCTCAATATGTAATTTATTTCAAAGCAAATTTAAGTGGAATATGACTTTTATTTTCTCATTTAGTGAATTGTTAACTCAAGTGTTTTAATTTGAATCAAGATAAAAATCAGTATAAACAAAAACATGACCCACAACTAAATAATTTGAGTTAACACTACAAAAAAAAAACGTACATATTGTAACTTCAACTCCTTTCAAGTTTGGACTCTCCCCTTTAAAGCGTGATTATGTCAGCGTGAACTATCATTTACCGTTTCTATTTTTACTGCAATTTGCTACAGTTCGGATCCTTTCCATTTGTAATAGTTATATAATGTAAACCAAAAAGGAAAATAAGAAGAGGGAACAGCGAGAGAGCTATAGAGAGAATTTGTAATGATTTGCTTTCATGAATAAAACATGCCCAATATACAATTCAACAGACTCGAAAGTGACACAACAAAATAGCGTCACCGCCTGCCTACACGTCTGTTAGAGTCACATTTTGGGTATTCCCCTGATCACACCTACCACTCATTCTTTATTTAGCCTCTGTGTTTCAATCAGGTGAAAGTAAAAAAAAAAAAAAAAAGAAAATAGTAGATTTACTGTTGGGTTGTGACATAATTTGGGTCAGTTTTTGTAACACTTTTATATCTTTAAGGAGATGGTAGTGCTTTGTCTGAAATGTTCCACGTGGCATTAGATATACTGTACCTGTTCTTCTGTTATGACAAGTGTTTTTATTGCTCAAAAAGTTCCTTAGTGTGGCATTAGACATACTGTATCTGTTAAGCATTTCTTTTATGACGTGTTTTTATTGCTCAAAAAGTACATTGAAAAACATGGTTAGTTTTTATGATCTGACTCATCTCTCCACAGATGTGACCTGCATCTGACCTCCATGAAGATGAGTTTAATGCCGTATTGGGGAATATTCTAGACGAACAACAAGATCACAATGGGGACAACAAGGAGGCAGCAGTCTGTCAATCATAAAAAATTCTATAGGCATAAGTTTATTTGTATAGCACAATTCGTACACAAAGTAATTCAAAGTGGTTTATAGAATTTACAGAATAATAAATACATTAAAATCACAATAGAAATAAATCAAAACATAAATAATCATCATAAAATTCAAAAGCGAGAGACATAAAATGAGAGAGAAGAATGCGGATGAAAGATATTATTCTACAATGAATATTTTGCCGCACTTAAAATGACTAAACTTTGTTCCACATTTTGAGTTGATAAAATGAATCGGCTTTCAAGATGAACTTCTGATGAAAAAATATTGTAAATGAAGTCAGCTCGCCTATGGACATACTATGGGGCTGTCTACGTGCTGCTTGAAGTCGTTCAAAGCCTCTGCGGTACTTTGTGAAATCGCTGGATCTTTCCCATTATAGAATCAGGTCATTTAGGATTTAATTGAATCTCAGCGGGACCCCTCTTGCATAATCAGGCGTAGCTGTTTGCAAGCACAAACATTAACTTGGTGCAAAGGCAGAGGATCAAAGCGCATCGCCAACTGTTTCCCACAATCCTGAAGGAAAGACTTTTGTTTATTTTGCCCCCACACAGCAGTCATTTCCTAACTGTGTCATAAAGCCTAAAACCACACTTCCTGGTGTTGTTCAGTCTGAAACAAGGGCAAAGAGTGAAGCATGATGGGAAATCGTGTGTTGACAATGTGGTGGGTAGACGACATGTGACGCTGGTATTAAATCTCTGGGGGATATGTTGTATATACAGTATCATTGTTTCTATGGCTGCTCAATTGTTGCATCGAGTAAACTATTCTGTGATACTTTCCTTTAACGTTAAGACGCACTATAAGTAAATTAAAAGATGTTCTGTGTAGTTCTATAATTAGCAAAATTAATGTAGACATATTTTTATTGCCAGTATGCTTATTGCTTTGACAAAATTGATTTGCAAACAAAGGTTATGCAAGAGAAATTAAAGCCAAAACCTTTTTCAAATGCATTATTGTGAAGGAATAATGTTTAAAAAATGATCTGACTATGTGATTGCAATATTATCATTTATATTGTAATAAAAATGTCGTCATTACTGCAATGTTTAGGTGCTGCTAAGTGACATTGCTTCATAGCCTACAGGTTTGTTGTTTCTTGTGAAAAAGTAAATGAGCTGCTGTCAGTTAATGCAAAATTTCCCCACAAAAACCATGTCTGTGCAAGTGAAAATCCTGTTATACTACCCTACAATTACCCAGTGTCGCCTGAGCAGCCTGCAAACCCTCTGACTAACTAACATTGTATTTTGTTTTTATGGGCGGCCCTTTGAAGAGAATACACCCCATGCCTGAGTGAGTGATCGTGGCCACAGGCACCCAGCCAAACGGCCCCATGTCCCGGAGAGATGGGTGAGGCAGGCCCTGGTATACGTGACTAAACAACCACTCGCTTCCTCTTTCAAACGTCACAAGGACTTGCACAAACATATCCTGCTTTGTGTCTGCTGGTTTCAGACGCATTGCCTCACCCACAGCCCCCCAGGCAAGAGAGAGAGAGAGAGGCAGGGAGGGAGCGGGAGAGTGAGAGAGCTGCAATCAGTTGGAATGAAACCAGAATATCAACAATACTTTACAGTGACGCTCCTACTGTTAGTGTTTTGACATATGCAAAAGCCACTATCTTGTTTGAAATACCCTAACACTACACTATCCACATTTTAGTTGTTGCTTATGACGATATTTAGTGATATTTAGTCTTGGTTTGGAAATGGTTTAGTCTTGTTTTTGTTCTTGGTTAATCATCCTTTAGACCTGGTTTAGTCTTGGAGCTTTGAGACTAATTGTGCATGCTGTTATGAAAGTTACTTACTTTTTATGATGTTGTGTTCAGGAGGTGTGAGTGATTTTGTTCCAGTGTGTCAGAGTACAAAAGGAGAACTATTAATCTTGCAACTTGAGCTTAAACACATAGGCACTCCCCTTATCTCTATGTTGGTTTAATATTCAACAAAACGTGTCTCAATGGCTGATTCATTGCGCTGTAATTTGATTTAGTGGTGCCAGATTTGGATGACTGGCTACGCAGCAGTGCACAAGAATAAAATGTGGGCAGAGCTATACTAGTCATGCTGCTGCTGTAACCTCGATCCATTCAAGTTTACAACACTGGGCTGGAAATCCCCACCTCATGACAAGGCTTCCTGGTTACTGGCTAATGTAATGGCGCCTTTGCTTTTTATAAACGAGCATTCAGCACCCCAGCGATAGGAAAATTGTATGCAGACAATCTGTATTTTCACATTAAACCCGCTATAAAATGAAAATAAAGGCAAAGCTGTGAAAAGGGGATGTTTTGTAAACGCTAATCCGAAGATATCCACGTTAATTTTGCACACGGAGTCGTTTCTATTGTGTTATTATCTAACAATAACGCCATGCGCAAATAGCATTTCCAAGTCTGAATCGCTGGCATTTCGAAGTAAACAGCGTTTTCTTTTTTAGGCTCGACCCACCTCATTCATTGCACGGCAGTCGTAGTAGCAGCAGCTCGTGGCGTAGAGGCGCTGTGCATTGAGAAAAACAAACTGCAGCCAGCACAGTCAGCCCTAACCGGATCAGAAACGAGGACAAAGCTGTGCTCAGACGGAGCGGCTGAGAGCGCATTTTATCCAAAGCGAACCTACGCGCTTTTACGCAACACCTGCCTTTATTTTGCGGAGGGTTTTTTGATATTTTTAGCTAAATCTCCGAGGTGATCTGGAGTAGACTGTCTAGCTGGTGTTGTCGGGGGTTGTTGTCCCATTTCGGTGTGACCAAAAGCGCTACGTGGAGGAGGAAGGCGAACGGGATATGTTTGGGAAGCGGTTCAAGTGATTAAATTATAAAAGAGAAGGGGCCGTCAGTGACAGAGGCTGCAGTAAAGCGAGGGAAAGGCGGAGAGGAGGGGGTCTGTCGAAGAAATCAAGTCAATAGAAACTCAAGTGGAAGCAGGCTGCGTTCATACTGGCCTGACGTCACTGCTCCACATTGAGGCAGTAGTAGCGACTGAGCGGAGAGAGACACACCGCGCCATAGTAAAGTACGCACCGACATGAACTTCTCTCTCTGCGCTCCAACTTCGCCCCTGTTTTCCATAAAAGTCTAGGGAGGACGCCTTTTCGTTTCTTCTTCAACGCACGGAACTTGCTCTTTATTCGTTTTCTAAGGGGATTCGGGAGAACTAGACACATTTTGGGGTTTATTTTCTTGACGTGGAGCTCGACTCGACGACGCTGAGGAGAGCCATGTCGTCCGCGGCGGTCGCTGCTTCTTCCCGGAGGCAGTCGTGCTATCTGTGCGACTTGCCCCGCATGCCGTGGGCCATGATTTGGGATTTTACCGAGCCCGTGTGCAGAGGATGTGTCAACTATGAAGGAGCAGACCGCATTGAGTTTGTTATAGAGACAGCCAGGCAGCTCAAGAGGGCTCATGGCATTCAGGAGGGCAGGTCTCCCGGCCCGGGAAAGAAGGACTTCCAGGCTATGAACCATGCAGCGGCGGGAGACCCAGGCTCCCGACCGCCCCAGCCGCTGGACCGATACCCCCTGTCCTCAGAGCGGCCGCCCAGGCTGGGACCAGAGTACCAGTCAAGAGGGCAGGCGAACGGCATCACAGTCCACAATGGATTCCCTAAACCGGACGAGCCTCCAGAGTTGAACCGCCAAAGCCCCAACCCCCGCAGGAGCAGCGCGGTGCCCCCAAACCTCGTGCCTTTGGTGAACGGGGGCGGCCCGGTGCCCCAGCACACCTTGAACGGCAGACAAATGGGGCTGCCCTCTGCGCTGGCGGCAGGCAACCCCGCGGACATGGGCAAGAGACCCGCCTCGGTGTCCAGCACTGAGCACGACCGGGAGAAGGACAAGCACCGACCCGACAGCCTGACCCCAGAGATCAGCGAGAGCCACAAGAACCGGCCCGAGCAGGACTGGATCAACAAAGGCAAAACCGTGAGGGACCTGATGGCGCTGCACACTTTCGACAGATTCAAGAAGGACCATGCGGTCATGCAACAAAGAGCTATGGTGTACGAGTCCGGAGCTACCGCCTCAAAAGCAGGTAAATAAATAAAACGGGGACAGTGCAGTCTTATTTTTATGCCTTTATGACTATTTTAGACACCAGAATGTAAATATAGGAATATGCCAGGAATGTGCAAATTAGGTAATCAGTCAAAACATGACGTCACAAACACGTGAAAATATTTCCAGAGTTTATATTAGATGAATATAGTTGTATATTGGGCAGTTTTCCTGCAGAGAACAGAATGCAGTCTAGTGTTGTGTGCACAGTGGAGTGCTGCCTGTGTGAGCTGTGTAACTCAGTTGTTTAACCCTTTCCCGCCCCAGACAGAGGAAAACACCCCCGCAGCGTGAAGCGAAAGGCGTCTCCGGAGCCTGAGGGAGAGGGCACGGCTGCCAAAATGAACGGAGAGGCACAGCAATGGTTACCACCACCCAACGATGGACTCAAAATGCCCCCGGTGCCCCCTCCAAACTTTGCCTCCCCACCCTCCACGATATCCCCGCAGTCCCGCACCACCCCTCCTGAGGCAGCCCAGAACGGCCAGTCACCCATGGCAGCGCTCATCATGGCCGCAGATAACGCCGGGGGCAACAGCTCACCGAAAGACGCCAACCAGGTGCACTCGACGACCCGCAGGAACAGCAGCAGCCCGCTCTCCCCCACCTCCATGAACCAGAGGCGGCTGGCCCAGAGGGAGGGCTCGGGCGCCGGGACCCCTCATGTCCCGGGCATGGACCAGGTGCACCCCCAGAGCATTCCGGACTCTTCTGTACCCGGCAGCATACCCCTGTGCTGTACCCTGTGCCACGAGCGCTTGGAGGACACACATTTTGTTCAGTGCCCCTCTGTCCCCTCTCACAAGTTCTGCTTCCCGTGCTCCAGGGAAAGCATAAAGCAGCAAGGTGCCACAGGCGAGGTGTACTGTCCCAGCGGAGAGAAGTGTCCACTGGTGGGCTCTAACGTACCCTGGGCTTTCATGCAGGGGGAAATCGCCACCATCCTGGCAGGAGATGTCAAAGTAAAAAAGGAGCGGGACCCTTGATTTTGTCTTTGAACACTTTTCTTTTTGGGGCGGGGGAATTAAAAATATGAGTATAAATATATAAATATCACATACATACCATTCAAACAAACTAACGGACTTGTACATATTGGACCCAAGGGAAGAGTATACTTCGTAAACATGGTTGTATAATTTTTGATTTTTGAATACATTGTGTTTCTATATTTTTGAAGATAAAGGTATGTACTCATTATAATGGACTACGTTCCTCTGTTGATGTTTAACAAAAATTCTTGATGTACTTCTAGGTCTGGTGGCAGTTCCTGTTTAACGTAGAATGTGACTAATGCTACTCTACGAGCACTTGGCAAAAACTGAAATGCTTTTAGCTGTACTTGTATGCACTTGTTTAAAAATTGCCAAATACAATTTCTGATCTTCTATGAACATAATCGTCTGGGCTTGCTTCATTTTGAGTGATCTTAAGTCCTCCTTTACAATATCCTCCCGGTAGATTGCGTTGTTGCTTGATTTACGGTGCACACGAAGAGAACTAGGCTACTGTTTCAGGGCTGCACCACTTATGGAAAAAGCATGCAGGGGTGCGTTGCTAATGTGCACAATGCCTGCCTTTCTCTCAATCAGGGTTAGTAGTTAGAGCACGCACTGGACTACATTTTTGCCTCTGCACACTGTAATTGATTGCACTAGAAATAGGTGCCAAGTCATGTTCGTTGAGCCGGAATCTGTTGAGTCAGGATTATGTGGGAAAGTGAGTGATTGTCCAAATGATATAAGCGTCTTTGTGTATAACCTAGCTGGATTTTCACAACATCTCCACTATTTTTAACCCATTTTTGCATTTTGTTGGTGCTTTCGATTTTTCAGACGTTTGTGAGCAGTCAACAGTGAACAATATGCAAATGTATGAAATAGTAGGTACTTTCTGGCCCTTTTTATAAACATTTCGCTTTCAATTTTTGCTTTGGCTGCAGATTATTTATATTTTATTATACAGTTGCTCTTTTTAGTGCACTCTTTTTAAAGAAATCGATTTGTGATGCTGAATGAACCAAGTCTTTTGCCCATTCACTGCTGCTGGCCAATTTGAGATGAACAGAATTTTGTCATAATATTTCTAAAGCAGCTTCCTTGAACACATTGAATTATTCTGAATTTACTGACCCTAATATAATCATTGACTCTTTGTGTACTTTTGCACACAGTCTTATCAAGTAAATTACACTTTTCCCTGTCTGAAAGCTGCACGGGGCACTGATTAACCAATTGATTTGCAATGTTGAATGAAAACAAGCCCTTTGCTTTGCCCCTACACATAAAGGGACTGAAATCACTGTGTTAGCCTCTCAGTAGTACCAACCCAATATTATGAGATATTTAGTTGTATTTGAATAGTAAACAAACATTGCACATGACAAACATTACTGTTTTAATTATATTTGTGGACAGTTAAGTCATGGTAGCATTGCATTTGGTTAAAACAAGGATTCATTTATGTAAAAAGCACCGATTTCTCAAGTCTACAGTTGGAAAGGGCAGTATAACAGTGTCTCAAAATCATTAAATGGTATTAAACATTGCTGTATCTTAAAGAATTAGATGCCGTTATCACTGAAAGACGCCCAAATGCACCTGGTAGTTCTTTATAGTAGTTTCATCTTATGCTTGTAAATATAAAACGCTTCACTTTCGCTTTTTGCAAAACTGTGAAGACTAGCTGTTGCGGCTTGCTTTCTTGAGGTCACATGGAGGGAGCAGACTTGCTTTTTCGTCTGAGTAAACAAGACTGTCGTTAGTGTCCGATACGCTATCTGTAAATCTCCCCACATGCTTTTTCATTTAAAGAACATCAATAAAACTAGTCATTTCATCCCTCTATTGGCAATGTACTGCTCGACTAACTTTACAAGCAATGAGCAGCGAGGTAGTGGTTGTAAAATTGGAAACTGCAGTGTGCAATGTATTTTGATTTGAGACAAAGACGCTCTATCTCTCCTCTCTCTTCCTCTCTCCCTCTCTCTGCACCAAACGGACACACTGACAACATGGCAGTTTTCTAGTAGAGTGCATGGGGAAGTTGGTGGAGTAGGAGGTTGCGTAATTATATTTGAGACATTATCTGCTTCCTGCAAATGTCTGAGAGAGTAGTGTTGCACTTTTTTTCAATACAAGCACATGTTGGCAGTTTGAACATGTTTTTTTTCTGCACTTAGCCAGCAATGCATTTCTTTTTAAGCTATATCACTGCAAGCTATGGTTACACATATGCCGTACAGTGCAAACATGAGCATTTATTCACTTCTGGACAACTTTAGAATTGGGACAAAATGCAAACTCAAATGTTACAATGATAATTTTATGAATTTTGCTTATTGCTGCTTTTCATCATTCAAATTTATTATAGATATTTTTCCACACTAACTTTTTTTTGGAACATTTTGCATTCATTCTTGTGATATGTGGCTTTACAGTACTATAAATATGTGAAAAAACAACATTTTAGATTTTTTTGTGCACTGATTAACCAATAATGAATGAAACGAACCCTTTGCCCTTGCATTTCTCAGAGCAGACCTACATCAAATATTACAACATGTCGGATTTCAATGAAATAGTATTAGTATTTACCATAGATGTTTGTTTATAGCCTTTTTTTCCATTGTGGGAAATGTTATCAATCACTTATCAGTTGGACTTTAAAACCAGAAACGCAGCCAAATTTGATAAAAAGGCAACACTCGTCGAACACGTTTTAACAACACACCCTCTGCATATTATGACTTATTACATAGTGTTCCCATGCATTTCTTATCGGACTCTTTTGACCTAGTTGTTCTTTCTTATTAAAGCAGAACACTACTTGGGAATTCCAGATAGTGTGAAACTGTAAAAATAGTTCATCTTATTTCAATGTGTAATATGAAAATTGGACTCTTGATATTTGTTTTGATTTAGGTTACTATGCTACGAAAAGCTTTGACGTCTGATTTTCAACAAGAATTTCCAAGAGAAGTACGTAACATTCTTCAAGATTTGGACAATATTACCAATTACAGATCTGAAATGAAACCCAGTAAATAAAGACAAAACAAATCAGCACCCAAAATCTGTTTAAATTGTCGATTAGATTTCCCCATATATAAGCCCAGTGCACCTACAGTACATAGATACCAATGGACATTTCTCTGCCTGGAAACGCTATCACAAAGCAGTCTATACCTGTTTGTCAAGTGCGTACAAAAATAGTCTGAACCATATCTAATACAGCGATAACATGTCCCTAGCTGTGGCTCTTGTCATAACACAACGCTCTGCTGTTGCGTAGCTACCAGGCAAATCAGAGCAATACAGCAGATGCCACGGTGCAGCCTTTCCATTCATATTCAGGGGACTTTATGGAGCGAGAAACCAAGTAAACAAAAGCCAACCAGGCAACTGAGTGCAGATTTGAATGTATTTAAATGGTTTCAAACATAAATTACCTTCAATTTTATTAACGTGAGAGGGAAGGTGTTTAGAACTGCAATGCATTGTGGTTAATGAGTCACTGTTTACTTCTGAGACAATGCAGGGATTTTTAATGTTTAAGCTTTAGTTTGGCAAAGGTGATTTAACTAACATGTGCCCATGTCTGACGTTAGAGTATTATTAATGTTAAGGTGGAAAGTGACTACATTGTACTTGGGTATAAAAATACATTTTCACTCGTATATGATGCAACTATTGTACACATTTCTAAATTTGCTTATTATTTTAGTGCTTTGAGAAGTGCTACAAGCACTGTTCATTACATCAGCTATTAACAAAGACTTCCTCATTCATAGATTCCAAAGAATTACTGCTGTATTATACTACAGTATTGTTACTCAGTACTGCTATTATTAGTTCATTTTAAATGCAAAAAATACATCAATTAACTGGGTAAACCTAACATCTCTTTCAAAATACAAGTACTTTGTTGACATACAGTTGACTTGAAACTATGTTATGTTCAGATACACCTGTCATCTTTGGCCCAGGTGAAAATGACACTGCTGGAGATTAACTTCCCCTTCCTTCCTGTCTTTTTATGATACAATCTTTTCATCCTTCACACCCCCTTTTAACTCTAACGCTTGTGCAAATTTATAGGATTAGCCTCAACCATTTGATGTTTTGGAAAAAGAAAAAAAAAACACTACCAAAATGCACTTTGACTCTACCACTGCCGCAACCCACAGCCTAATCAATGCCCGTAAAATCCGCCATTGACTATAGCACTGATTTAGTAGACTGGTTAATCAAGCTAAGTGTATGGCAATAGGTGAAGTGGTGATTTAAACATTAACCTAACCTGGAGTCCGCTAGTGTTACTGTTATTGTCGTAGTAAAGCTGTAAGCCACTAGGGCAGAGTACAAGTTTGTTATCTCAGGAGTAAATGAGGCTGCGTTTGTCTATGCGGCAATCAAGCAACGCTGATAAGTACTGTCTTTGAGTTAGCACATGTGGTACAATATTAAAGGGATCCTAAATGATTAAGCTGATACCGGGAAGAGCTGAAAAATCTAGTCTGAATTACTGCGTAAGTCACTTCATAGCCAGAAAATGATCAAGCGTTACAGCAATGTTCACACTTTCCAATGGCTACTACTAAAACTACTGTACTCCATTATTGTTGGATATATAAATTACAAGCAGTAGTTTACCATTTTTGCTTATTGTGCTTTTTTTTGACATTTTTATATTCATTTATTTATTTTGGGCAAGCAAATATTTTACATTCTGTTACAATGGAACATAATGACATCCATATTGACATCATTGTGGTCATATTACAGAAACAAGAACAACAACAACAACAAAAAAATCCCCAAAAAGGAGTGGGAAGAAGAAAAAACCTTTAATCTCACCCCTGTCTTCTAATTTAACACAATGAGCTTTCTTTTGCATGACATTTTACATCAAACCATATGGACTATTTATATGTGATGACATAAGATGAAAATTAGTCTGGCAAACCTGAGTAATATTGTTTATTTAAAGATGAATTGTGCTATTTCTTGACAAAATATAGTTGAAAAGGATCTAAATACTTTCACCTGCTACATGAATTCACCAAATGCATTAAAACACTGACAAAAGTACAACATCTATCCATTTATCTTTGCTTTTCAACATGGAGCTATCTCCTGTGTGGGTGTATGTTTGCAGGGAAAGCCTATAGTTTATGTGGGAGTACACTTCATGTCTGCAGCTCTTTCGCTAATGAATCTATGTTTAGCCCAATAAATCAAAAAGTCCTCCTCTCCGCTGTAATCCCCTGAACACTACCACAGACGGGGACACGCCAAATGCAGTATCTGGCACACTTTTTTTTTTCTCCCAGTAAAACCAATGTGCACGGTTAATTTTAGAGCTGTCAGGCAAAACAGGGTCACCGCAGATGCCGTA